TGACCGAGTTGAATAAACAGATATATTACTTACTTCAACTCCAAGCAAGTGATATGTCTCGCACTAGGATGAACGTGTGCCAAGCTGAATCTGAGACGAGCTAGACATCTTGTCGGTAGTGCATGAGTCGCTAAGCAACGGAGAAACTCAAACAAAACTCTGAGCTACATTGCAATATAATCTTCAAAGTTGTATAAACTAAAAGTCGGAGCCCTACGGGCTCATGCAGTGGAGAACTAGAAATCCCAGACTAAATTCAAACCTGGGCGAACAATGGCTGGTAAACCCGCTTTAGAATGGTGCGACCGTAACGTATTATAAATGCAGAGAACAAAAACCAGAGACTGACTCCTCGAGTACTGACTGCCGCTCAAGTGCGATCAACAGTTTCATGCTGTCGAGAAATGAAACGACTGTATTCCTTAATAAAGCACCTCCGTTCAGTTAGAGACCAAACAGAACGCAAGCAACCTCAAATTAGCAGCAAAGGACGCACTGCTCTGAGGCGTGCGGCAAAGTAAGTAACCATCAACAACTGTAAGTACTTTTCGAAAGAGATGCATGCAAATAAGATACTGCGAATGGGTGTGCCTAGCATGGACATATCACAATGGTACAAAATGCGGTCTATCAATTCACAGATGTCGGAAATCTGTCCACACATTAATTACATGAATAGCGCTGTGGCTCAAGCCATACACTATGGAAACTGGAAATGGTGACATCGATTGGCGGAACGACAAAGGCTGTTCGCTTACCCGAATGAACCGAAATCTATGCTCGATAGGCTGCATTTCCGTCTGTCACCCAATTTTATTGAGTCAAAAGTACTCTTTTGGAAGAAAACGTTCTTGATAAGGGGGACCAGATTGAATAACATTTAATGCACGCCATGAAGGAAAGTCATATGTTTGAGCAGGAACAGTTCGTATGTGTGCGATTAAAAAGAGTTAGGTGTCGGGAACAAGGTTGTATGCGCCCAAGCATACAGCAGTGACACGTCACACAAACCAGCAGAAAAAGACAAACACGAACGGGCTTAAATGAGATGGCTTGCGCGAGACGATGGGTTCGTTGACTGATGTTCCAACATGGACTGAGTAGACTAGCAAAATAGATGGAAAGCAGTGTCGGCCCTCGTAGAGGCGACTGATGTGTAATTCACGCTAGTGATGGACACAATAGGGTTTCAGTGAAAGATAAAGGTGAAAAAAGGATAGACAAGTGCGAGCAAAGTTGGTGACCGAATGAACAAAACAAAGCAAAAATGGAGAAAGAAATGAACGCGAACTGCGCAAGAAAAAACGGCGTTGTCGTTGATATTGGTAGTATCAGTAACAGATGTGATGGCGGTTGAAGAGACAATGAAAGGCAAACTAAAAAGTTCAATGTTTTCGGGTGAATGGATAAAAGGAATCAAGTGGTACACACGCACACGAATATGAACTCTGTCACATCAACGAGCATTGTGAGGAAGGGTGGGAATAGGTGAAGAACACGAAAGCGCAGCAAGGCTAGAAAACATGTGCGTGAAACAGAATGACGGAGATTAACGAAACAGGACGGACAATAGATTCGGATGCAAGTCTGGTCGGGCAGAAAGAAAAATGTACTGGTTGTGGAGCAGCCATGCACGACCGGGAAAACAAGCAATCAGTCACACCAATCGTCAAAACCGGTATGGATCGGAACGTTCACAGAAAACACGAGCAATCGCTTGCACGATACGAGAGAGAAATCGATCGTGCCGTAAATCCGATTGTAAAGATAGTTTTGGGTACCGAGATGCAAGGGTTAATAATTATGCAATATGAGCGAGAAATAGATTTCGGTGTACGCAGATAACGCACGCAACACTGTGGACAGTAATTGCGAGACGGGGAGTGGCGGACTGGTTGGATAGATCGACTGAGGCCCAGCCAAGACAAGGAAGGGATCACAACGCGACCAGGCAAAAAATAATGAACAGTATTAGTGACGTTGATTATGGAGGTTGGTGAACTGGTGGTCCATAGGACTGGCTGAACGGTGGAGAAGGTCAAACTCTAGGGTCAGAAAAATCGATTCAAGGTCAATAGGGTTGGAAGAGCACGAGACTATCGGAGTGAGATTGGCCGTATGGTATGCTGGTCAAACGAAGTGAGAAAAAGACAGGAAACGGGGATATGTTACCGTCTGTGGGTGCACATGCTGAACACCCGGTGAGTCCAAGAATAAAATTAACCAAGGAACTCACCTGAAAGAACGAGCGGATTAGAGATTTAGCACCATGACGGGTCGATGGTGCACAGATGNACAGATGGAAAAGGTATGATCAAGAACAACCCCAGTAAGATTTGCTGAAAACCGTAGTGTCTATAGGTGAGGCTCGAAAAGCACGCATGCGTGACTGGCAAGACACTGCGTACTTAGTCATAGTCAGCGGAAGCACGTCTCTGATATGACAGACGCTTCGGAAGCGTACAGGCACAAGATATAGGGAGAAGGATCACAAGAATAATTAGATCCCTGGAATAGTGAATTGCATTGATCGGGCAAATAGGTTAGAACTGACGTTGAATACGGGTGAAGATTAACGGATCAGAAAATGTCGCGCCTTGGTATTTGTGTGTAGGACGACAGCGAGGAATGACGCGAAGCGAAAACTGAGCGGCGCAAAACAGCTAGTTGAAGTACTAATGTGTCTAAACAGAATCACAGCAGTAGCGGCGAAGAAAGTTGGAAACCAATGTCTTTGTTGTGGGAGGCGACAACGACGCTTGGATAGGTGCGTTGTGTTCGAGCGTTGATAAAGTTGGAAAACAAAGAATGAATATGGGAGTACTAATGTGAAAGGAGGGCCAGTCTTAGATACCGGAAAATAAGAAATGTTAAAGGCATCTCTTTGTAGACAACAGATGTGGAAATACTAATGCATGATTAGACTATAAAATAATGCATGAATAATAACAATAATAATGGAGAGTGTGGATAAACAGCAGTAGCACAAATCACGGAACACTTCCCTTGGGCCAGGGACTGAATTTGGCAACGTGCGCATCGTACGGCACCGGAATGAGAATAACGTTGGGTCGAAATACGAGAAAGCGCACGGATATTTGAATAACCCGAGCGAGAGGGCTAGTGAACCGTTGTGTGAAGGAGGGAGGGAACAAAGCTGCCTATTTCCAGT